CCTCCCCATCGCTCCCCACCGCCCACCCGCCCCCTCCCCAGTGCCCCCCGCTGCCCATCCCCAAGCGCCTCGGCCCGGCTGCCAGGGGGCGGGAGGGCCATGGGCCTGTCCCTCCTCTCGGCAGCCGAACAAAAGCCCGCCAGCCCCCGGCCCCGCTCCCCCGGGAGCCCCTCGGCAGACTAGGAGCGGGTGAATCCCAGACACAATGAGGCGCCAGCAGCGACTCACCCACAGCTCCGCGCCCCAGCTCATGGCGGCTCCGCGGGCAGCAGAGAACAGGGTCCGGGCTGGCTGCACACGGCCGGGGTCTCCTCGGCGACCGGGGCAGGACGCGAGGTGGCTGCGGCGAGTCAGGCTGCGGTGGCTCCACCGGGCTGGGGACAAGGGGAGGGGGAGCCGCGGAGGAGGCTGGGAGAGGGGCGGGCCCGGCTACGGGGGAGGGGAGAGGCCGCCGCTCCCCAGGGAGGCCCGGGAACAAGGTCAGGGCAGCGCTACCTCCTCCCGTAATACGGCCCAGCCCTAGCCCAGCCCCCTAGGGCTCCTTCCCAGGGGTCCCACTATGGGGAGGGGGATCGAGGGCTCCTTCCTGGGGATCCGGGGTCTCACTATGGGGGGGGGGTCTGGCGGTGGAAAGGGGGGGGCTTCCTCGCCTCGCCCCCCCCCGGGAGGGAACGCCCCCCTGTGGGGAGTCTCGCGGGCGCGGCTTTTAAGAGGGGGTAACTCTCGGGGGGTCTCGCTTTAGGGGAGTCTTTTAGTGTGGAGGGCGGGGGAGCAGGTCAGGGGTAGACGGGCTATTGCCCAGCTTGAGGTGGGGAAGAGAAGACTCGCTCTCCGGGCTGAGCGCCGCTCTTCCCAGGCTTTCTCTGGCCGCGGACAGCCGGCTGCCTGCCCCTGCCCGCTCAGGAAACCTCCTGCTGTAAAAGCCCGGAAGAAAGAGCCCCTCCCTTTTTCTCCTGTGCTGATCCCAACCCCGCCTGTTCCCAGAGAATCCAGGCAGAGGGAGCGATACAATACTTGATACAACCATTAGACAATAGACAAGTCATCATGCAAATAAAGGAAGTTAAGTGGGATCCTTACAGAAACTTACTGCTGCTGAGCATTGAACTGGGACTGGGAAATTATTCCTGACTCAGTAAGTAAATATAATACATGAGCACAGGCGTTATGTAATATTTCTTCTTATGAACAAGGAAAGATATCATGTCATTACAGATACAGCACGATTTTTATGAGTATGTCACTTGACCAAGATGTTCCCCTTAAAGCTTTGTACCTCGCTATAGGCCACACAATTCCCCAGAGAATGACGACAAAGGCAGGACTCTGCTTCTAAATCAATATTGCCAGTACAGTTGTATCTGAAAGCATTATTATTCATCCAACCAGAACTACAGGGAACAATGCTAAGGCTTTGATTAGATACACTATTGTGATGCTAAGAGAGACCTGAAAGGAGGAGGAATCTGTTTTTGACCTCCTTATTTTTATAATTATGCATTAATAGATCCTGAAAAAGTCCTTATTTTAAAGTTTCTTTCTCCTTGTTTTTCACCTTAGCACTGTGAGGTCTTATTTTTCCAATTTTTGTTGGTTGACAAGAATGACTCAGATGAGAATTGTATGCTTCCTCCGCTATTAATTAAAGGGTTGTGTTGAAAGGGGACTGATTTTTATTATGATTGTTTAAAACTTTGTTTTCTGTTAACATCTATTAAACACTTCCTCTCAAACGTTAAAGTTAAAAAGGTGTTAACAAAAAAAACAGAGTTTTAAACAATCATAATAAAAATAAATTCCCTTTCAATGAGGTTTCACTTCCTTGGTATATATGTCTACTGTGGCTAACCTGCTAGCTTTCTAGTCATCCATAGTGTTTCAGGATAGACAGTATCTGAATTTCTAAGATTAAAAAAAGCAGTCAAAGAGGGGTGCAGAGAAACACTTTTCAGGCCTTTGTTATATGTTATCATGAAGCAAAGGGGGGAGGGGGGAATTTTCATTTGCAAGTCACCTTTTAGATAACGTGCCTAGTTGTCTTGTTTAAATAGGTTTAATCTTATAAAGGGACAAAGTTAAACTTTAATACGTCTCTGTGAATTCCATCAACTTTCTTTTTTCAGTAAAGCAAGGAATTATCAAAATAATAAACAGATGATCTTGTATGAAACATATGTCTCTGCACAGCTGCTATGATAAAGATCATGGGCCAAATTCATTCCTAGAGTAACTGTTTAAATCAATGATTTTACAGCAGGAAATGGATCCAGCCCCCTGTATGTGTGCAGATTTATGTGAGCATTGTGCCAGATGTTATGTTCCCTGAAAGCAGGACTGGGGCAATAAAATATATTAATTTAGATGGAATATATGGGTCCAAAGAGTCAAAGGTGTTAACATGACTCTCTCACAGTCCAACATTAAAACAGTTTTAAATAAGGTTCAGAGTTTAGTATACAGAGACCTGAGTCTGCTTAGTACCATGGCAAACACACCATTAAAAATCCTTTTAACCTTATGTTAGATACAGAAAAGAAGGAAAAACAGTTAGCATTTGAAATGTAAAGTATTAAAGTAAGGCTTTCATTTTAGCAATATTCCTTGCTCCCCTTCCTGTTAGCTGAAGAGAGCTTTTAGAAGGAAAAAAAAAACCCTTATTTGACAGTTTCTCACATGGTATCAAAGATGGTAATAACTGACCTTTTGGGTAAAAGAAAAGTTCGTAGAAATGATCTGGAGCTGTTGTTGCTGCTGTTAAAGTTGTAATCCCATGTCTTCCCATGTGGTGTTTGTCACCCGTCCCTGCTCCAGGTGAATTCCAGTGTCATCTAGGTACCTCTCTGTGGCCTGGTCATGTCAGGACATCTTTCAGGATCAGGATGACGAAGGCTCAGGATCGCAGCAGATGATGGGGGTGGCAGTCATGATGTTGAAACTCACTCTAGTAACCTCCATCCATTCTTCTGTATTTTTCCCCCAACGTCTCTTTCTTTAAGGACCTAAAAAGGAAGCTATGGATGGAATAGCCCATCCCCTCATTATTTTGTCCACCAATTAGGCCTAATACCTGACTCCTCAATTTTGGTTCGTTAGTCTCCACACCCACATTTTCTTGTTTACCAGGCATGATCTTAACACAGTCCTTGAGTTATATCAGTAGGTCTTTTGTTTGGACTATTTCAGTCCAATTTTCCCATCCACATTTGTTATTATAGGTTATTATGACATCTTATGAACTTTCACAAACTTTTTATAGTTGAGCTCACAATTAGGGTAAATTCAAACAGATCCCTATATTTTAGTTGAGACACTAAACTTCACACACAAACACAAACTTGTGTAGAACTCAGATTGCTGCCTGTACTTGGACAGTTAATATTTCATAATTTTAAAGTCCTAAATGCTCAAAACAATTGTATGCAATCTGGATTAACTAATAAATGCATGACAATACCACTGTAAAATCCAAATGGTTCTACAGAATTGAAAATATCAACTTTAAAGCAATGTTTCCTACTGAGAAGCTCAATGTCTTATGACTGCAGCTATGATACATTCTGTCACTGAAAGCTCGAAGCACAAGAGATCACCAATATAGCAGTAAGTCTGGTTATATTAATATGAATAGAAAATGCTCACCAGAACTGCATACACATTTGATTCCTCAAACACTAATAACTCATTCTTAAAAAAATAAATAATTCAAGATAAATTTGCTTTCACATCTAGGAAAATAAATTATCTTTATTAAACTGTATAGATTTACCTTTTTGTTTAGATACAAGGACATGAGAAATATCAACTTTAAAATTTTTATGGTTTTGCATTTATTAAAAAAAATCTTCAGAAGACAGATAAGTTAATTTACTTCTCTGTAAATGCTGGAAATTTCGGTTCAGATCCTGAGTAGGTCAAAATTAGAATGTGTTCACTTCTATACATTTTTTACCACAGAACTCATCTTTCAAATTAAGGTCAAAGTTGTAACTTGTCCCAGCTGTAAGAAATCTTACTGTCTAAGGTGAAAAGGAATGGATAAGCTATTACCTTAGGACCAAGATTATCAAAACTGATTAGTGACTCTGGGTGCCTTAATTTTGGGTGCTCAACTTCAGACAACTTGAGGTACCCAACTTGAGGCCCACAATTTTGAAAAATATGACCTCTGTGATTTTATATATGAAAGTTCCATCCAGGAGAGGTTTCATCTGAATACTTGCAATAATGTTGGTTGGTTGAAGAGTTGCAAGTATTTCAAAGTGCTGAACTTCTATTTTTTTATGGAACTCATGCATAAGAACTAATTAAATATTCCCATTTCAACCTGATACATTTTACAAAAATTCCACAAAATGTCAGGGGCTTTTCTATTCATATTACTATAACCAGACTTACTGTTATATTGGTGATCTAGTACTGCTTGGAACTTTCAATGACAGAATGTATCATGGCTGCAGTCATCAGACATTGAGCTTCTCAGTAGGAAACATTGCTTTCAAGTTGATATTTTCAGTTCTGTAGAACCATTTGGATCTCACAGTAATACCTTTAGTACAGATTGCATACAATTGTTTTTGGCATTTAGGACTTTAAAATTATGAAATAGGAGGTAAAATTGTATACATACGTGAGATCCTCGCCCTTGCTCTGGCTCCCTTCATATCAAGTAGAAGGGCCAGAGTGGCAGAAAGCCCCAATGCTGGCTGTTGGAGGATTCCCCCAGTGCAGACAGGCATCACTCCTGCAATCCAGGTACATAAGACAACCATAAGGCTGTTTTTCAAGGACCCCTCACAAGCCCTGGTGTAGGGGATATATTAAGGATCGATTGGGAAGGGGCCACAGCATTCAGTGTTGCACAGATTCCAGGCAATGCTGCAACCCATAGTGTATAATTTAAACAGCCCCTCTGGCCTGTATAACTTATGACAGAGACTGTTCCACACCCCGAAGCAGCCCAGGATCAGGAGGGTACAAAGGTGTCTTAAAGCCACCCGAGCCCCTCTCCCCTGGACTGTAAGTTCTGTTCTGTGCCTCTTGGAGGTGCAACCACTTCTGCAACTAAATTGTATAAACAATTATGGGGAGATTGGACAATCATGAAATATTCTATGAAGAATTGGAGGAAGGGTGGAGCTCTTCCAAAACAGAGACAAAAACTGTGTTATTACATTATTACAGCATTTCAACAAAGCAAAACAAATCTAAGATTTTAACAATGCATACATTATAGGATTAAAAGCTTTATATAAATACCCAAAATA